GCGCATCCGCAAACCGGAAGCGTCCGCTCACCACGGCCAACAAAAAAATAATAAAAACAGGAACACTGTTAATCACACAGCATGTTGTTGTTGTTGTAGGCATAGTGCGTACGTGCTCTGTAGCTGTAATCGCTTTTCATTTCGCTTTGCTGGTCAAATGTCAACGGGATACTGAGGGTCCTCGTAAATTCCTTTCTTCTCCTTTAGCATTTAATTGCATTTCTTTCAATTTCWATTCTTGTTGCTTGCTACCTTTTGTAGCTAGAATCTGTATATTATGTGTGTTTGTGCAATGCCAAGTACCCCCCGCACACTATCACTTTTATGTCGGTTCTAATCTGCTTTGTCGCACTACTCTTACTGCGTCTTAACGCCGTACTTGTTTGGGCCTGTTGCAATTCCCAACGGACTGGTGTTTAGTCCTCTGACTGGTGACTCACTTGTACACCTATATACATATATGTATGTATATGCGTATGTACATATATAGGTAACACTGTGCGTGTGTTTGAATTATAGAATCGCAGATTATCATCAACAATATCTGCAGCCGTAAATGAGCGAACGAGCGGGCCGGTGCCGGTGCGCTCACAGTCAGCGTTATGTCGCTTAATGAATTTATTTGTTACGCATGGCATCATTTGAATTGCCTGCCACCAAGTCGCATACACACTTCTGGCTTAATGAAATCCATTATTGACGACAACAACGGCATTAASAGCAACTGCGACAGTGGTGGTGGCAGGCAGCAACAACCGCAGCCACAATGTAAACGCACATACAGTGGAGTAGACAATGCTGCAGCTTGGTCTATGCAACGCTTGACAGCAAGCCATCTAAAAAAAAGAAGAAACGTTAATTTCGGTTGTAATACCCTTAACAAGTTCGAGTTTTCTTACCAAAACGTGATTTTGATCCTCCAGTTGGTATGACATCTATATGCTATAGTAATCCGATCTGAAAAATTTCTTCAGAGATTGTATTGTTGCCTTGACGAATGATTCATGCCGATTTTTGTGTAGATACCTTCTCAAATAAAAAAGTTTTCCATACAGGAACTTAATTTTCCTCGCTCAGTTTGTGTGGCAGCTATATGCTATAGTGCTGCGATCGGCACAATTTCTTCAGAGTTTGTATAGTTCTCTTGAAGAATAGTACATGCCGAATTTTGTGAAGATACCTTGACAAATAAAAAAAGTTTTCCATACAAAAACTTCATTTTCGTCGCTCAGTTTCTAAGGCAGCTATATGCTAAAGTAGTCCGATATTCACTGATATATGTATATACAGACAGACGGACCTGTCTAAATCGACTCAGGTCGTCACGGTGGTGACTTTTATGCCTATACACTTTATAGAGCCTCTCTTCCTTCGTGGTATTACCAACTTCGTGGCAAATTTAACAAAAAGCCCTGTTCTGGGTATAAAAAAAATTATATGTATGTTTGGTTTGCGCAACCCTGAAATTGTTGTAGTGCCGGCATATATTACACAATTCATATGGCAAGCTACTACTAAATACGCAATAAAGAGCTGACATTTTATTTCGTAAGCAGCGCAGCAGGCTGCCACTACGCGCAACTARCGTCATATCGCATTGACACGCAGCAATCTATGTTCGAATTTTGTTCAGCTTAAACGGCGTTTTGTGTGTGTTCACAGGATACCATACAATATCTGCCAAGTCCTTTGTTCTATTACATCGAGTCGTATGTACGTTTGTATGTATGCGTGAGCACATGCTCATATGGGAGTTGGGTTAATTGAGCGCACCTCAGCATTGCTAGCATACTGCAAATTGAATATGGATGGATTATAAGCAATGAAAGGCCCTATAAGTATTATTTTACTCCTCGTAAAGTAACTTTGAGGAGTCACAGCTACGCTTTCGTACTTTTTTGATACTTCTGGTCAATAATTCTAATGCACTACTATGTGCTCCCAGCAAAGTTAATCTTATTCCAAGTGTATATGAAGAGATAATGGTATTATATTATGATCTATTATATCGGAGTATTTTAAATAACACAACGTACCGGCACTCTAAGCGGTCTTACTGAGATCGCTGTTACGATCGTTGTCTTAACCTAAGCTATTTTAAATGTATAATTTCTAATCAGTCGATGACCAATGAACGTCTTTAAGGTTAGGTTCATAAAACAAGAGTTTTTAGTTTTCTGCAAGATTTGCTGCTGGATTTTTAAGTCAAAAATTAAAGATTTTGACCTTTAGACATTAAAGCAGAGGAAAGGAGTTTGTAGTCGGGTCGATTTCTTTTCCATAAAATCCTTGGATTATTCTGAACAACTTTGCCTAAGGAATTATGGCTCTAAAAMCAGTTTCGAGGTATTTTTAAGGCGAAGTATAAAAATCTGAATAATTGGTTATATGCAAGATATGGGATATAGTGCTCAGATTAATAGAATATCAAAAAGTGCCTACTCAATAAATTTAATCTGGATATCCCAATAACTAACCAACAAATTTTTATAAAAAGTCCCTTAAAACATTTACCTTTAAAATCAGTGGTTCGAAGACGCATAGTCTCTTAGCGAAAGTTGTTCAGAATAATCCGTAGAACCGCGATTTTTCTGTTTTTTTTTTTTTTTGTTTCCAGAAAGTCGGACTGCTCTAATGTATAGAGCTATGCTTGTACCTGATTTTCGGCTTCACAAACACTTCGTACATCGCGCTCCCTATTCGGTGTTGCCTTTCCCCCATACACAGGCGTCGCACAGTATTTATGACGTTTCTGCGCGCCCGCACAATAAATGCTCACTTACTTAATGAGTTTTCCCCCGGTGGGTTGCAACAATTGCGAAATATGTGCCACAAGTTTTATGCGCCACACCCACTGCTCGTACGGAAACACCAACAAACAACAAACGTGTTACCGCCACTAACTGTTCATTCCCCAAATAATAAATATCATCTTTTGGCATATCCATGTGTGACTGTGCGCGTATGTGTGTGTGTRTGTGTGTTCACATGCTCATAAGTAGTGCGCTTAATAGATTTTTCTTAATTGTTGTTTGTGTGAGTGTATGTGTTCTGTTTGTTGTTTAATTTACTATTTACCACTATGCCAACGGTAGTTGTTGTACGCTTTATTGCCGGCGCATGTGTGTTATGGGCGTTGTTGGCTGTTGCAATACATTTTCCCACCATCCCACCGCAAAGCTATAGCTTAGCCGAAAACAAAAGAAAGACACGAAGCATGCAAAGAAACCCATTTCATTTGAAATGTCTTTGAGTGCAATTGAACAGGATGTTGGGTTAATGGGCGTATTTTATGGTTTTGATTTGTACGCGCTTACATGCATGTAGCTAACTGCCGCCCATCTTCTACATGRACCCATCTGAACTTATAAGTTACCTTTATGGCCTCCAGTGATATATTTTCAATTGCCATTTCCCGACAAATAAGCTGAAATGTTTTGTTTCCACAGTCAAATAAACGAGTGTGGTAGGGTCTGAAAAGTACCGTTATTTGCATCGACAGCGCAAATTAACGCTGTTCGCTTAAAATATTTGAGATATTTTTTTCTATTTTTTATTTCATGTCGAAAGGTTTTATTTTGGAAAAATATAGYAAAGAAAGTCTAATGAGAGAATCGTTTTTTTTTTCTTAGCATTTTTGCTTTTTATTAGTATTTGTTGTTGGCTAAAATTGTTACTCAGCTGTTAATTTACTAATATTTGTCTTCTTAAGCCTACAATAAAATTCAMTTATCGAAAATAAATGTAAAAAAATTCACAAAAAGGCAAAGTCTGTTATGAACAAATAAAATAAATTAAATTTTAAAAACAAACAAAAACATTTCCATTACCCAATTAATAACTGGATTTGCGATTTCAATAAAAAATTAAAAAACATCTTTTGTTTCTTTTTTGCAAGTAAAGCAGCAATAAAAAYTCAACCGTTCCAGAATAATATAAATTATAAATGCACTCATTAGAAGTAAAATTGCTAATTAATTAAGGTGAATTATATCATAGTGAGGCGACAGCAGCATAAGAAATATTCATAGTATAACAGTAGCTTTTTGTTGGTTAAAAATAAATAAAGAAATAAAACAATGAAAAATTGTATATTTGCATATAATACGGTAAAACTAAACTAAATAAATAAAAAAAAATTGCAAATTA